CTTCTGAAACAAATAACGCAACATATTTTAAGAAAAAAGAAAAAGAAGAAGATAACAGGAGAGGAAGAAAAGGGGAGTATGTCAGAGGGGGAGATGAACCATGAGAGACGATGGACTCTGAAAAACAAACTGAGGGTTCTAGAGGGGAGGGGGGTGGGGGGATGGGTTAGCCTGGTGATGGGTTTTCAAGGGGGCACGTTCTGCATGGAGCACTGGGTGTTATGCACAAACAATGAATCATGGAACACTTCATCACAAACTAATGATGTAATATATGGTGATTAACATAACAATAAAAAATTAAAAAAATAAAAGTGCAGGTTGCTGCAAAATCCTCTCCAATATCCTGAAGATATTACTACTTAGCACTTGGGAAATCGAATGGCTTATACATGGCCCAAATGCATTTATCCAGTTAGAAAATTTAGAAACTGAAAGCTGCATCTGGGTTTAACTGATATAGTCCCCCTGCTTTCAGGGTAACGGTCTCAGCACCCGTGGAAGATGGAGTAGCCTTGGATAAACCGTTTGCTTTCTGATACACACAACAACAGGGGTGAATCTCAAATGTGTCATGCTATGTGAAAGAAGCCAGACTTTAAAGACTACATGCCCTATGACATCATTTATATGACATTCCATAAAAGGTGGATCTGTAGGGACAGGAAACAGATCAGAGGTTGCCAGGAACTAAAGGTGGGGATAGGGTACTGATAACAAAGGAGCTCAATGGGGAACCTTTTGGGGTGACGGAAATATTCTGTATCGTGATTATGCTGATGGTCACTGAACCAAACGTGTATCAAAATTCAAAAAACGGTACACCTAAAAAGGATGGGTTTTATTGCATGTAAATAACACCTCAATAAACCTAACTTTAAAAAGAGTATTCCTGGAGATACTGTGTGCATGGGGGAAAAAAGGGAGATTTTTACACTTTTTTTTTTTTTTTTTTTGGCTAGAGAGTTTCACATTTAAATAAATGGCAGCAGTTTACACAGGGAGGATAGGCTGTGTCAGTTTTCTTTTCCCACCTGCATTGCCACCCATGACCTGAGTTCCTTCAGGCACAATGATCTTCCCATTCAGGATAGGGCCAGGATTTGGGGGAAGGGAGGGGAGGCCATGGGGTGAAGTAGCAGGCCAGCTCTGTGGGCATCAGATGGGGCTGGGTCAGGCCAAGTGGTTTCTCCCTGAAGCTGCTCAGTCACTCCCCCAGTTAATTATCTGTCTGCTGATTCATGAGTTGTGGTTCCTGTGGGCAAGCTTCCTGGCTATTTCTGCCAACAGAGGCAGAAGGATCCGTAGGGCTGGGAGGGGATGATAACCAGAGATCCTGAATGGGGTGAGGAGGAATTTCTATTAGGAAATTCCAGAGTCATACCCAGTCTCCCCCTCCTCACTGTTGCCTCCTTGCCCCGTCTGATGCTGTCCCCAGGAGACCTCTACCACTTGCAGTTTTTGTGTGTGTGTGTGTGTGTGTGTGTGTGTTTTTAAGATTTTATTTATTTATTTGACAGAGAGAGACACAGCGAGAGAGGGAACACAAGCAGGGGAAGTGGGAGAGGGAGAAGCAGGCTTCCCGTGGAGCAGGGAGCCCGATGCGGGGCTCGATGCGGGGCTCGATGCGGGGCTCGATGCGGGGCTCGATGCGGGGCTCGATGCGGGGCTCGATGCGGGGCTCGATCCCAGGACCCTGGGAGCATGACCTGAGCCGAAGGCAGATGCTTAACGACTGAGCCACCCAGGCGCCCCCTCCCACTTGCAGTTTTGAGGTGGGTAAAGGAGAATGCTTCCCTCCTCTGTGTCTCCTCCCAGGAGAGGGAGAAAAAGGCAGAGAATTCACAGAAGATCCCCTGAAAACAGAGGTCTAAGGCACCACAGTGCAGAGATCCAAATGCGCAAAGAATTCATGATCTCAGCTATATTCTAAAATTCTCCAGAATGCCCAGATGGAGCACTTGAGGATCCTCTGTGAATGAATGCAGATATTCAAATATTGGGTTTCTTACAATGAGGCATATCACCTCTAGATGCCTTCTCATAGCGTTCCCTAGGATTTATTTTGGCTGTCAAATGTCTCAGGTACCGGGCCTAGAGCACTGAACAAAACAGACATGTCCTTCTCCTCACAGAACCTGAAATCTTGTGAATGTCTTTTACTTTCCTCTTTCCCCAGAGGCAGAACTTAAGGTTTTCTAGTCGATAAAGCACATGTATGCACCTCTTCCTCCTTGGTCTCTTCTGTGTGGGTTCTTGCTGGGTGAGAGGGGCTGAGATATGCCAAACCACCAGTGGGGGACTATCACGTAGGTGTGGGAGAAGGGGTCCCATCGGTCTCATTCCGCGAGCCCAGGTTGCACTTGTGTGTGAAGCAGTAATAGCTCTTGTCTCCAATACACAGTAGATACCATGGATAAGAATGATGGCAATGATACATGCCACTTATTGGATGCTTATTTTCTAAATAGCACAGTCATCAAAGTATTGTTTTCTCCACTTTACAGATGAGGAAACTGAGGTCCCAAGAGATTAAGTAACTTGCTTAAGGTCACACTGCCAATAAGAGGCAAAATCAAGAATTAAACCCACATCTGGCTGGCTTTAAACCATAACTGTCCCTTTCCCCAGCCAACAAGCCTTCCTGCCATGTCTCTCCAGGCAGAGGGCTTCATTTGGAGAGTTTTTAGGATATAAACTCAGGAGGAGAAATTAGCACTTCAGCTCAGAAGAAATCAACTTAGATGGTGACAGCAAACAAAACTTGTTATCCCTTAGGTCTCAGGTTAGAATACAGACTTCCATAGGTGAAAGCCACAAAACCCAATACCTCCTGGGTGAAGCTAAAAAGATCACCTTTGGACATAAATTCCAAAACTCAATTCTACTCTCAAACAGCCTCTCTTCTCCCCATCCCAGACTCTCCTATTCTGGGACAACCTCTCTGTGCCACCACCCAGCTCTCTCTGCGTCCCTTCAACATTGTGTGTACCAACACCCCTCTTCTGTTCTCATCCTACCACCTGCTTCCCCAGGAATCTGACAACACCTGCAATCCAGGTACCAATCCTGGGGGAAGGGATTCAAATATAAACTGTTCTTACTGGGGGCTTCTTACTCTGGAGATCTAACTCTAGAGCCCATGCTCTGAAACACTACTCCAACCTGCTTCTCAGAAGGAGCCTGGGGCTAGCTCAGTACAACCCATTACTACAGCTGGAATCATCCCAATCATAACGATGAATCTGTGAACAGATCTCCCAAAGAATATGGCAAACTAAAGTATGTCGATGCAGTGGAGTCCTATATGGATCATTACAACTCTGTATCAGATCAACACAAGATACTAGGAGTGAGGGGTGGAGGGACAGACACCAAAATAACGTACACTCTTCATCTTCACTAATATTGAAACATGTGCCATGCTAGGCTCTATCTCATGTTATTTTACTTTCTTCTAAGACTATAAGAAAATACAATGTCTAGTTAGACTCAGAAATCATTCAAAATTCAGAAAGCTGTAGAGGTGAAAAGAAAAGCAACAAATGTTTTAAGTTCATGGGAGCAGGCATCTGGAGGAGACAGCTCCACGGCCCCCATTAACATCAGGCAGCATTTGAACTGCGTCTCTAACACTTCCTAGGGCACAAGGCTGGAGATCTGTATTTCGGTACCATGGTCATCAGGCTGCTCACTGTAGGCTGAAGACATCAGCTGACCTGTTTCAGCATCTATCACATGGGAAGCTTCAGCAAAAACAACTTAGCCCACTATATATTATCTGTAACTCCTCCACCAAGACATCATTCAGAGATTGTGGTGATGGTTTCATGGGTGTATATGTATCTCCAAACTCATCAAGTCATATACACTGAATATATACGGTTATTTGTATGTCAATCATACCTCATTAAAGTGTTTTTAAAAGATACTGTTGCCTTGTCCTGTATAATCTCTTACACACACAGATCTTGAAGGCAGTCATCAAAGTATTTCTGAATAGCTATCTTTGTAAGGACTTAGTAAATCTTAACTTTCTTAATGCCTTCTGCGGGATTTAAATTGTCTTACAATGAGTACTACACTTTTCATTAAAAGTGCATATATGCACACTCGTGCGTCCCCGGCAGAGGAACGGAAGCCAGAGTTCTGTCTGGTAAGGTCACCGGGGCTCCGGAAGGACCACGGGCAGCATCCCTGAGCTGTAGGCTCCTCTGCCCCTCCACCCGCTCCCCAGCACCAAGGAGGCTGAATGCCAACTGTCTTGGCATAGGGCGTGCAGCAGCAGGAGAGACAAAGCCAGGGATCCAAGCCAGTTCCAGGGACCCTTCTTGTGGCTCCTCGCATACACTGGAGGTTTCTCGGATGCGGGGTCTGTCCCGGAAGCAGAGGCACGGCTGCCACCCGGGGACACTGTAGAAGACAGAGCCCTCGCCCTGCTCCTAAAAGCTCCCGCGGGAAGCCACCAAGGAAAAAGACTTAAAGAAAAGAACTTGGGAGAAAGTGTAACACAAAGAGAGAGTAATGTCGAGAAGCTGGCACACCCGCGCGCGCACACACTCTCGTCCGAACAGCTACAACCACAGCCCTCCGGCAGCGCGGGGGACCAGCCCCGGGAAGCCGCAGCTCGCCGTGCCCACCGCGGCCAGCCGGCCTCCGCAAGCCCCAGACCACCTGCGAGGCGCGCCGCCCGGGAGATGCGCCCGCCACACCGCGCGCGCCCAGGCCGCCCCGGGCGGGCGCCTGACTCGGCCAAGGGCTTCGGCGTCCCGGAGCACCCGCCCCGAGGCGGCCTCTCACGCCTGTCATCCCGGGGCCGGAAAGGTTCCCGGCTGCCGGCTCCGGCGGCCGCAGCCTGGCCCCGCGCACTCGGAGCGCAGACGCGCGGGACCGGCCCGCCGCTTGCCCGGCTACAAGTCCGCCAACTCGGGCTGTGGCAGGATGCGCGGCGCGGATCTCCGGGGGGAGCCGCGTCCCCGCCGCGCGGGAGCCTCACTCACCTCCGCCGCCGCCGCCCGCCAGCGCCCCCAGCACCAGCACCGCGGCCCACAGCGGCAGCGCCCGCATGTCGTCCGCTGCCGCCGCAGCGCCCGCCCCACAGTGAGCGGCGGCGCCCGCGGCCACTTTTCCCGCAGCGGGAGCGGGGGAGGGGACGCGGTGGGTGGGACGTAATGGGGCGGGCCGCGGACTCGCGCTTCCTCCCCTCGCGCGCTTCTCCGGACCCTGCGCTGGGGAGGGGGTGGTGGGAAACCGCGGCCGCTCTTTCCCCGCCTCGCCTCCGCCCGCTGGGATCCGCCTGGACCCGCAGACCGGGCGAGACTGGGACCGGAGCGGGGTCGTGGGCGCGCCCGGACACTTGGTATGCTTAGAAAAACCGGGAGCCTGGGGCCCCTCTCCTGACCCCGTCCCACCTCCTGAAGACGCCCATATGGCTTTCTCTTTCGCCTGAACGAATGGGTACTTCCCTCTGTACCTTGAGTTTGCTTCAGGCACACTTTGATTTATTTGACAAACCGTTTGAATACTCACTCTGGTGCCGAGCACCGGTTTAGTCCTTTATTATTCATCGAGTTTTTCTTTGCGTTAGTTTGGTTTTCCGGAAAGCCTCTTGAGACATCTCAAGCTTGTGTGTAAGTAAGGATGTCCATAAAGGGCCTCTCTCTGCAGATGCTTGCTTGCACATAGTGACTGATAAACGTTTCAGGACACGGTCAATAGACCGCCTCCAAACGCAAAGTCACAGGCTTCTCAGCTTTATCGTATTTTCCTCAAAGGTCTCCTTCCCACTCTCTGCCAATCCTTTCTCTGGGTCTCTGGGTCTTCTCCAGACCGGAAACCTCAGGCGGCTCAGAGAGGCAAAATGCTAGAGCTGGGAGCAGGAGACCGCCAGTGGTTGGGGTTGGTACCCCCCACGCGACGGGTAGCTCGACTGACCGTAAAAACAAGACCTGACCCATCAAAGAGCATGGAAGTCTCTCCAGCTCCTGGGCTTCCCTGAGCCCTCTCTGGCGACACCCAAGATGCCTGAAAACTGGCCCCGACTCAGCTTTCCAGCCTCGTCTCCCACCCTAGCGCAGGAAAATACTTCGCATTCCCAAATGCTCCTGTCTGGCTTTCTGTCTGACTGATCTTTCTAAATTTTCCACCTGGAAAATTGCACCTAACTTTCCAAACATCCCAGATGTAATCTCTTCCATGGAGGCTTGTCTGACTGCCCCTTCCTCCAGCCCCGCCCTCTGCAGAGGTGGGCACTTCCTCCTCAGACCTCCTAAACACTAGATGCTCCAAAGGAACAGCACCCATTAGCAGAAGTGTCTCTAGCAGGTTGCAAGGGAACAGAGGAGGAGCCAGTCCACAAAGGGTAGCTAGGCTTCCTGACCTGGGCTTTAAGACTCCCTAGCTGGTGAAGGGCCTCTGGGTCAGAAGCCATGTCCACAGGCTTGTACTTGCCCTGGCAAAAAATCCAGATCACACAGCATGGTCACATCTCTGCCTATATATTCACATATTTGCTCAATTCCCACAATTATAACCAATCTCCCAGTTCCCTAGGTGTCTCCTCAGCCTAGCTCTGCTGGCACCAACGCTGGTTCAACAAACCCACTATCCACGTTCCCAGCCCCTTCTGCCTGAAGAACTTCCATTAGCAAGCCTGGCAGTGAAGGTCCCCTAGCAACAAATATGCTCAACTCTCATTTGTTTCCCCCTCATTTATAATATTTCTAAGATATAGGACACCTGGGTGGCTCAGTTGGTTAAGCGACTGCCTTCGGTTCAGGTCATGATCCTGGAGTCCCGGGATCAAGTCCCACATCGGGCTCCCTGCTCAGCGGGGAGTCTGCTTCTCCCTCTGGACCCTCTTCCCTCTCGCACTCTCTGTCTCTCATTCTCTCTCTCTCAAATAAATAAATAAAATCTTTAAAAATATATATATTTCTAAGATATAGATTTCTATGTTGACAGCCATGGGGGGGCGGGGAATGGTGGATCTTCTTGGACTTTAAAGATGTTGTTCTACTGTTTTCTGGCCTCCACTGTTTCTGATGAGAAGTCAGCCATTATTTACATTCTTGTTCCCTTGTCTTTTCCCTCTGGTTTTGTTGTTTGTTTGTTTTAAAACCATTTACACTGGGGCGCCTGGGTGGCTCAGTCGTTAAGCGTCTGCCTTCGGTTCAGGTCATGATCCCAGAATCCTGGGATCGAGCCCTGCATCGGGCTCCCTGCTCCGCGGGAAGCCTGCTTCTCCCTCTCCCACTCCCCCTGCTTGTGTTCCCTCTCTCGCTGTGTCTCTCTCTGTCAAATAAATAAAATCTTTAAAAATAAATAAATAAATAGGGCGCCTGGGTGGTTCAGTTGGTTAGGCAACTGCCTTCGGCTCAGGTCATGATCCTGGAGTCCCAGGATCAAGTCCCGCATCGGGCTCCCTGCTCAGCGGGGAGTCTGCTTCTCCCTCTGACCCTCTTCCCTCTCGTGCTCTCTATCTCTCATTCTCTCTCTCTCAAATAAATAAATAAAATCTTTATAAAAAAAAAACTTTAAAAAAATAAAAAAAAATAATAAAATAAATAAATAAATAAATAAATAAAAATAAAACCATTTACACTTATAGAGAAATTGCAAAATACTAAAGACTTTTATCTTTCACCCAGTTTCCCCTATTGTTAAGATCTTATATTACCAAGTCATAATTATCAGACACAGGAAATTCACATTGATACGATACTATTAACTAATCCAGATACAATATTTGGATTTTGTCAATCTTCCTGTTAGTGTCCTTTTACCAGTCCAGGATCTAATCAAGGATTCCATATTGTCCTTTTTTTGGGGGGGGGGCAAGTGATTATTTTTTATTTCAAGTTTTTATTTAAATTCTAGTTAGGATTTTTGTTTGACTTTTATTTCAATTTTTTATTTAAATTCTAGTTAGCATATATGGTAAAGTTGGTTTCAGGTGTAGAATTTAGTGGCTCATCAGAGGATCCCATACTGTGTTGTGATCATGTCTCCTTAATCTCCTTCACTCTGTGACACTTTCTCAGTCTATTTCTCTCCTCACCTGGACACTTTTGTGTCAATTTTTAGGCCAGTTATTTTGTAGTATGTCCCCCAGTTTGGGTTTGCCTGAGGTTTTCTCATGATTGTACTGAGGCATTCTAGACTGAATACCACAATAATGGTGCGCTTCTGGGCAGTACATGGTGACAATATGTCTTATTACTTACAATGTTAACCTTGGTCACGTGGTTAAGGTGGTGTCTGCCAGACTTCTTCACCATCAAGTTACTATTTTTCTCTTTGTAATTAATAAATATTTTATGGAAGACACTTCAATTCTATACAAATATCCTGTTTTTCTCCATACTTTCACTAATGTTAATATCTATTAATGGTTCTTGACTGTGATCAGTTACATGGTTAATAGTGATTTCTACCTTCCTTTTTTTCTTCTGCCACTACTAATTGGTGTACCACAATGAGAAAGAGCTGCGCCTTCCCTCTCATTTTAAAATTTCGATAATTTATTTCTATCAGTATGAATTCATAGATACTTACTTTATTCCATGAGTTATAATGTAATGCTGCCATTTTTCTGTTGCTCAAACTGTCTCAGGTTTGTCTCTACCTGCTTTTGAGTTTTCTCTTTATCTTTGTTTGTTTGTTTACCAACTTGACTGTAAGGTGAAGAGGCGTTGTTCTCTTGGTATTTTACCCTACTTGGGGTTGATGAGTGTCTTGAATATAGAAGTGACCTATTTTTCACCAAGTATAGGAACTTTCAAGCCATTATTCCTTCCAATATTTTTTCTGCCCATTCTCTCTCTCCTTACCTTCTGAAACTCCAATTACACATATTTTAGATATTATCTACTTATAATAATTATATAAGTTATAAGTATTATATAAGTATATATCATATATATAGTGTATTATATAAGCTATTATAAGTATTTAGATATTATCCCACAGACTACTGAGGCACTATTCTTTTGAAGATTTTATTTATTTATTTGAGAGAGAGAGAGAGAGCACGAGTCAGGGGAGGGCCAGAGGGAGAGGGAGAAGCAGACTCCCTGCCAATCTCAGAGCCTGTCTCAGGGCTCAATCCCAGGAGCCCAAGATCACGACCTGAGCACAAGTCAGACTCTTAACCGACTGAGCCACCCAGGCGCCCCATTTTTTAATCCTTTTTTTGTTTTTGTTTTTCAGATTAGTCTATTGATCTCTCTCTAAGTCTCAAATGAATAATCTACAATTCTTTATTTTGCAGTCCCTACTATGCTGCTAAGCCTATCCAGGGAATTTTTCAGATGTTGTTTTTTTTAAAGTTCTAGAATTTCCCTTCATTTCTCTTTTATAGTTTCAGTTTCTCTGCTGAGATTCCCCATATCTTCAATTACTATGTCTATATTTTCCTTTAGGTCCTCAAGCATATTTACAACCATGGTTTTAAAATGCCTGTCTGCTCGTTCTGATCTATCTCAGGGACTGTTTATCTTGATTGCTTTTTTTAAAACCCTGGGTCCCAATTTCCTGCTTCTTCACATGTATAGTAATATTAGACTGCATACTACATATTGTAGACTATTCATTTTAGAGTTTATGTTACTTCCCTCGGAGATTGTTGAGTGTTATTCTATTAGGCACTTAAATTACTGGCAGATGATCTCGATCTAGCCCATCTTGGTTTTATTCCTTTTCAGGACTAGTAGGTAGAACATGGTCCTTTAAAAAAAAAAAAAGATTTTATTTATTTATTTATTGGGGGGTGCAGAGGGAAGGGTAGAGGGAGAGGGAGAAACAGGCTCCCCATTGAGCAGAGAGCCTAACACAGGGCTCGATCCCAGGACCCTGGGATCATGACCTGAACCCAAGGCAGACGCTTCACCAACTGAGCCACCCAGGCACCCCTAGAACATGGTCCCTACTCCTAAGGTATGTGGACTTCCTGGATCATCTAAGTAGACAACTTGTTCAGTGAAGTCTCTGCACTTCGACTGAGCTGAAACTCCAACATCTCTAAGCCACGTGCAACTTCTAGTGTTTTCTGTTTGGCTCCCAGCTGCTCTCTGCTGAGGCTTATGGAG